GCTAACTTGTGCTGGCGTTTATTTTGTTCTGGTTCTTCCTTAATCTGCTGGGTGCCACCACTCCCGAGAAATTACACCGTGTCTGTCTCTTTTCATCCTTACAAACACCTTGCACCATGGGGGATTAATATCCTCCATTTCACAGCTAGCAAGTGAGAGCCAGAATCTGAACTCCAGCTTTGGGATTCCAGGGTCATTGCCTTTCCCATTACACCTCACCTCCAAGAGACTGCAAAAAATGATGCTCAGTAGGGAAGCTAGGCAGGGTTCAAGAGCTGGAGTCTCGCTGCCAAACACAGATTTGTCTCCTGGGAATGATCCTTCAGGTTTGTGGCGCCCTTCCCCTCAGATTACACTGTCACCCCCTAAAACCCTACTGGGCCTATGGAGAGACTGAAACTTAGAGATGATATGCCTTCTCTAGGGTTTAAGAGTAGGAGGTGGCAAAATTGGAACTAGAACCCAGGTCTCCTGACTCTGCCCTGTGCTCGTTCTACTCTATGAATTGAAAGGATTAGCAAGGTTGGAGAAGCCCTCTCCCCTAGCAGTCCCTCCTCTTTAAAGAAAGCCCTGCAATGTACAGGAAAGGGGACCCTAAAATGCTAACGTGCATATAACAAGTAGCTCAAGATTGTTGGTAATCAAAGACATGCAAATTAAAACAGTAGTGTGAGATCCTTTGCACTTAGACTTGCAGTGGTTAGGAGAGCTGGGTATTGCTAAGTGTTGGCTTGAGAGTGGTACACAGGGAAGTCCCCTGGTCCTCCTGGTGGAGGGCAGGTGGAGCAGCTGCCCTGGAGGGGATCTTGGCACTATTCGTCAAACCAGGTAATGTAAGTAGTATAACTGCGTCTCACTCTGAGTACATGGTCCAGGGAAATATTCACACAGGGCCAAAGGGCACACGTAAGAGGATGTTCTTCGAGCACTGCTCTTGTTGGTCAGGAGATGGAGAGCAGAGGGGGAAAGTTTGGTTGGAAGTGCCATGGAGAATTATGCAGCAGATTAAAAAGTGGAATTGTTGTATACTTAGCAGTATGAGTGTACTTTAAAGTACAATCATTTGGGGGGGGGGAGTAATAAACAAATATGTATATCTATAAAAACCTGGTTGGCTTAGGTCTTGGAAAGTAAGAACCTCTGTGTTGTCAGTAGCTAGCATGTGGCTGGACACGGAGTGTGTGAGTGCACATATGTGTTGAATAAATGAACAAAAGAGCCCCTGGAGCCAGCCTGGCTGAGTTACCCAGGTGGCCCTGTGTGGCCCTGTCTCAGAACCCCTGGGTATTGGCCAGCCTGCCATTACCAGCTTGAGACCAGAACACTGTTCCCTCAGAGGCACAGAAGTAGAGAAGGGTGGCAGGCAGCAGCCACCCTGCATTGATTACCTACTGTATGCCAGGCATTGGGCTGCAATCACTGTATATTAGAGGTTATCATCCCTATTTGATTGGTGAGAAAACTGAGTCCCATAGAGAATTGATTTGCGTAGGGTTACCCAGCTGGACCAGAATTTGAATTCAGGTCTGACCTTACACCAAAGCCCTTCATTCATCCTTTTTGTTACACTACACTCAACCCTCAGGGAGCAGGAGGGGGAGGCAACTCAATCTTCTTTCTTCCGCCCTATCTGTAGAGCAGTGCTGAAATTCTCTGTGCCCAGCCAGGCAGGGGAACACAGGTCACTGACCCAGTGAAAGCATTAGGGATTCTGGCTGCCCTAGCCGTGCCCTTTCCTAGCAGTGCCCTGCTTGCTTCTGTCTCTGCCCCAGCTCATCTCCTTAGGTCTGTGTGCTAGCAGTCTCCAGACTGGCCTCCTTGACCCCATTTCCTGCTCTCTCCCCTTTCATGTTCAGCCTGCTTAAGCTCTTAGGTTAATTTTGTAATTTCTTTTGCCCCAAAACCTTCACTGACAACCTCACTGCCTATGGTGTGAGTCTGAGGAGTGGCAAATAGGTTTCTTCTCTGCTGCCAGCTTCAGTTGATTGATGGTGGCTGATTGGAACCAGTGTTGAGGAGGAGGAACCAGTGTTGAGGATTCCGAGGCTCTTTCAATGGCTCCACAGGAAGGAACTGTGTGGAGAGATTTGTGATTTCTGACTTAGGTGCAGGAGTGCAGGACATTGGCACACATGCCAGGCATTTGTCAACTCTTTATATTGGGTTTGTAACCTAGGGTCCACTGTTAATTTCATGAGGACCTATGAACCCCTGGGTGTTGTATGTAAAAAACAAGACAAGACAAAACAAAATGGGGTGGGGTAGGAATGTGTGCTCCTGTGTACTTTTTTGGAGAGAGTCATCAGTTTTAAGATCATTACTCTTAAAGAAACACATGGCTCAAGAAAAGTTTACGCCCACTGTCTTGGCCTCCTAGCCCGGGTGTGAGGCCCTGTTGTAGGCCCTGCATACCTCAGCAGGTGTTCCTCTGCTGCAAACTGTCACCCGGATGGACCTGCCTGGTCTCTGAACATACCTTCCCATTGCTTCCCTGCTTCTGAGGAGTATCCTGCTCCTTTTGTCTTCACTGCCTTACATTTTCTCCCTTGTCTCTAAACTGTTCCCCTTCTTCGAGACACAGTTCAAGCCTTTCCCTTCACAAACCTCTTTGATTTTGGTCCTGATATTCCTGTCTTCTGGGTGAGGATCAGAGAAGTGAGACCATCTGTCTGAATCACACTTAGGGTCAGGAATCCAGTCTCTTAGCTCTCAGAACCCTGTGCTTCCCACAGCACCAGTTGGCCTGCGAACAAGGGAAGGTGTGTAAATGAGGGAGGAGATTTTGTGCAAAAAGTGATTTTTTTTTTTGGTCTCAGAAAATTCATCATCAGGTTTTTTTTAGTCTCTTTAACATTCTTGGCCATACAGAATTGTTCCTCCATACAAGAAGTGTACATGGTAAGAGGCCCAGAAGAAATCCTCCAGAATAGACACGAGAGATGAGGGTTTTCCAGCCTCCACTCCTGGCACTCTCCTCTTACATTTTGTGCCCCAGTCATGCCAAACCTCTTGCAGGTGCTCACATAACCCATGCTGTCTTCTCTGGGAGAGAGGCTTCACCTCTGCCTGGAACACCCCTGCCCCTCCCTCGCACCCTTTTCTTCTGACTAGCTCTCTGTTGTCACCTTCTCAGAGAGACCTCTGGGTCACTAAGACTGGGTTAGGTTCCCTCGGTGTGCACTCATCCGAGTACAGGTGTGCGCTTGTTGGCTGTCTCCCCCTCAGGCTTTGGGTCTTTTCACCCTCCCAAACCTCAGTCACCTGCTTACTTATTAAACAGCGCAGAGGTTTTATTTGGCTTGGTCCAGAGGAGCATTTACTACGTAAGAATGGCACCAGGACTCATCCCCAAGCTCTGGGCTTTCTGCCGGTGCCCTTTCATCTAGAACCCACTGAAGACTAGATACCCTCCCAGTTCCCCCAAATACCCCCCGCTCCCACCATTCCTCATAAGCAGACCTCCTTTGTTCAGACAGATGGCTTCACTTCTGTCTGAATAATCACTCTTGACTTTCAGTCTCCTCCTTTCTTGGCCTTCTATAGCATTTCTGGTGGGAAGCCAAACACCACAGGCTTTGGTTCCTACTCTCCTCAGTCCTTCCCCACAACCAAATTATATACTTTGCTAGGGTAGACCCCATGCGTTCTCCTCACCCCCATCCTAGGATCTAGCCCAGGACCCAGACATATTGTGGAGTTACTGAAGTCAGTGTAGTCTTTTGTCTTCCATGTGACATGGAACCACGTTTAGCCTCAGGGAAGGATGACAAGGTGAGAAGGATTCAGGCTGTAGAGCCGTTACCCACCTGGGTTCCAGTCACTGAGTTGCCTCTTTACTAGTTTGTGACCTTCAGCACGTCATTTCACCTCGCTGAGCCTGTTACCTCATCTGTGAAAAGAAGTATCAGCTCCTTTAGCCTGTACGAAGAGTAAATGAGAGCATGTATATGAAGTTCTGAGGGCAGTTTCCACTTGTAGTAGGTACTGAGTAAGAATTCATTCTGTTTACTCCCCTTCTCTCTGTTCACCTCCACATTGTCGGGCCCTCTTCCCAGGACCCAGAATTCAGGCTTTCAGTGGTATACTTAAAACGCGGTCATTGTTCGTCTACCCAACAGCTACTACACCCCTATAGCGTGCTAGGTAGTGGCATATAGAGTCAAATAGGTTCATGTGGACTCTTGTAGAGACCCAATTTTGCATTTCTAACATTATTTCCATCTTTCCCTGTGTTCAAAGATTTCCAGTTTTCAAAGGGCCACCATGTGGATAAACTTGAAGAGTGTGATCCTTTTATAGAGCAGGAACTACCTAGATAAGAAGTGTCCTTGGGCTCTGGCTGGTGTGCGTCAGTGGATTAAGTGCTAGCCAGCAAAATGAAGGGTCACCAGTTCGGTTCCTGGTTGAGGCACACATGCCTGGGTTATGGACCAGGTGTGAGAGGCAACCTAGCAATGTTTCTCTCCCACTCTTCCTCCCTCCCCTCCCCTCTCTCTGAAAATAGATAAATAAAAATCTTTTAAAAAAAGGAAAAAGAAAAAGCATCCCTGGGCATTTGGTGCTAAGAACAGGGAAATTCTAAGGGAGGAAGAGAGATCTGTGGACTGGGTAAATCAAGGAAGCCTTCTCAGGGAGACTCCTCAAGCCAGGATTGCATCCCATGGCACGAGAGTAGGCTTAGAACAGGGAGCAGAGGCGGGAGCACTCTGGACGGAGGGAGTAGGAGTGTCAGGGTAATCACGTAGGGGAGGCACATTTTTTCCTCACACAGCCAGGAGGATAAGAGCAAGGGGCAGACTGATTTAGGGTAAGGAGGGAGAGAAGTAGGGGAATCCTGGCGTTGGGGAGACTGGCCAGAGATGCTGGGATGGGTGTTTAGTTCTCAAAGGCCTTTACCTGTATCCAGGGTCATCCAGCCCCACAGTTTGTTGACTGTCTCATTTCTTCCACTCCTAGGTCTGTGATAAGCTGTACACTGAAAATATTCCTCTGTCTTCTAGGCTGTTGGCGGATGGTGCAGATGTCAATGCAAGGCACAGGCTTGGCTGGACAGCACTTATGGTGGCAGCCATCAGCCGAAACTACAGGTGAGAGATCTCCTTCCACACAGGGCTCCCTTAACCAGATCTCTTCAGATCGAATTCCTGAATCCTCTCCCACCCTTGCCGTCACCCTGCTGTCTTCTCCAGAAGCAGGGAGACAAACTCAGCCTAAGGTACTGGTCTATACCCAGTGCTGGGGAAAGTATAGGAGATGTGGAAAGGGATGTAGTTGTGGATCTCAGCTCCATCATTCATTGGCTTCATGACCTGGGCAATTTTTTTTTTCAAGATTTTATTTATTTATTTTTAGAGAGGGAAGGGAGGGAGAAAGCGAGGGAGAGGGAGAGAGAGAGAGGGAGAGGGAAAGAGAGAGAAACATCAGTGTGCAGTTGCTGGGGGCCGTGGCCTGCAACCCAGGCATGTGCCCTGACTGGGAATCGAACCTGTGACACTTTGGTTCACAGCCCGCGCTAAATCCACTGAGCTACACCAGCCAGGTCTGGGCTATTTCTTTGGAGGTCCTGATAGGAATAAGGAAAGGTGGGCACATTCCTGCTCTCCCAGTGGAGGCCCTGCTATTTTCCTACCTGCTTGCCCATTCCCTTAGGGTGTAGCTGTTGTGTAATGATCAAAGTAGTCGACTTTGTATAAGAGTTATTGCTAATTCTCACAAGCACCCACAACATATATGTTATTATTCTCATTTTGCAAGTGTGAAAACTGACAACCAATGAGATAAAGCATTTTGTCTAAGGTCTCACATATACAGAATTTAGGACCTGGTCTGGCTGCCTACAAAATTTGTGTGTTTTACTGCTGCTTTCCTCTGCTAGATCCCAAGCTAGTGCTGGATGCTATGATTGTGCAAAAGATTTGACTAAATAATAGCAAAAAGAAATGCATTCAAAGGAAACAGACTGGCCACTTTAGTAGTAGCCACTGAAATTGATAGCAGGATGTACCAGTTTAAATGTTCCCTTCAAGCAGATTTTCGAGGCTTTTATCTGCCAATCCTAGCCACCTTTGGAAGGATCATAAATGTGATAGACACCAACATACAGGGATTTTATAATATAGGGGTGGCACTGCCTCAGACTGCCTGAGGGACTTAGCTGTACTTGAGATAAGTCTCTCTTCTCTGCTCTTCTATCGTGAACTTGTTCTCAGCTCTCCATTTCCTTATTTGCCTCTTTAGCTTCTAGCACTTAGTTGTTTTTTGTTTGTTTGTTTGTTTGTTTATTGATTTTTCCAGAGAGAGAGAGGAAGGGAGAGAGAGAGAAAACAGAAAGAGAGAAACATCAATCTGTTGTTCTACCTATTTATGCATTCATTGGTTGCTTCTTGTATGTGCCCTGACCAGAGATCACACCTGCAACCTTGATGTATTGGGATGGCATTCTGACCAGCTGAGCTACCCAGCCAGGGGCAAGCACTCAGTCTTTGCAAGAAAAAATTGATGTAAATGGACTTTGTAGTTGAGAGACCTGGAGTCTAGTCCTGGTTCTGACCCTTAATTGAGTTTCAGAATTTTTTGGACACCATTTCTCCACCTGAAATTAGTTATCTGCAGACATTTGGTAAATATTTATTCTGAACCAGGCTCTGTGCTAAGCATTGGGGAATGAGAGACCTTGGAAGCTTGTGGCCTAATGTGGAAAAGAAAGGCAAGTAGAGAGAGTGTAGTGAAGTCAGCGATGTCAGAGCAGTGTAGACAGGATATTTTCAAAGCAGGGAGTTTAAGAGGACTGAATTTGGCAGCAGAGTGGATTCTCTCTATATGCTTGTGAGAATGAAATGAGATAATACATGTGCTACAGGTTACAAACGGTAAGTTATTCTCTGCTGCTCACGTTAGACCTCTCTGTGCTCAAGTGTACATGTTTATTCTACCACTGATAATCCACCCACCCCTACTTCTACCCTACCCACCCATCTCCTTCCCAGCTTACAGATGTCTCCATCTGTAAGAGGCAGACAGTGGTTGAGAAAAGGGGGTGGGGGAAGGTGCCCTTATGTGTAATGTATTTTCAGTATTGAGACAAGTGGAAATAACACTATACTTAAGAGTTCTGCCAATCAGTGAGTAGATAGCTTTCTGAATCTAATGAGTTGTTGGTTTAACTGATTGCCTGTCTTTATCCAGAGCCATTAGCAAATCAGTGATGCTTGTTGAGCAAAGTGAGAGTGTTGGCTTGTATTTATTTGCTTTGGTTCCTAGGACTAATTATTGGTGTATTAAGCACCCATTTTGTGTCCTTCTCTTTCTTTAGGTACCCAGGGAAAACAGACTTCTAATGAAAATAGCATACTCTCATGTTGGTGTATTTATTCACATCACAAATTGTGGGGGGCACCTACTGTTTGCCAGGCACTGTTCTTGACAAAGATCCCCACCCTCATAGATCTTATTTCTATACAGATGGTAGTCCCTGAGTAGAGAGAGGCAGAGACAGACAATAAACAAATATAGTAAACCACAGACCCTGGCTGGTGTGGCTCAGTGGATTGAGTGCCAGCCTACAAACCAAAGGGTTGTCGGTTCAATTTCTGGTCAGGACACATGCCTGGGTTGCAGGCCAGATCCCCAGTAGGGGAGCGTGCAAGAGGCAACAACACATTGATGTTTCTATCCCTTTCTTTCTCCTTCCCTTCCCCTCTCTCTCAAAATAAATAAAATCTTCAAAAAATATATAATAAACCACAAACTAAGTAAACTATATAATATATTTGAAGGTAAGACATACTGTGGGGAAGAAAAGGAAAAGTGAATCTGGTAGAAAGGAAATCTACGTAACATAAGAAGGTAAGGAGTGCTATAGAAAAAGGAAAAGTAGAATCTGGTAAAAGGGAATCTCAGGAGTACCTCAGTCAGGGTGAGCAGACCCATGGGTAGGGTGCCCTGGAAGCAATCCTGAAGAGTTACCGTGTCCATACCAGCACAGTCTGTCAGGAAGTTTCTCCTTATGAGAAGTGTGCTGCTTCTCATCGTTCACCAAACCCTCTGGTATCGTACTGGCCAGGCCTGAAATGCCACCACCTTTTAATTGGATTTGGATGAAGGGAAGGTAGAGGGATAGCACCGCTTAATTCAAGGCTGAAAGCAGAGAACCATCATCTCCCTTAGATGCTGGCAGTCAAAGATCAAAGGAGAGATCCTGAGAGTAGCCCCATCATTTCCCCCTCAACTGCCTTTGGTGAGCACTTGCTTAATGTGTTAGATCCCTGGGGACATAGAACAAAATAGTCTCTGTTCTTAAGGAGACTAACTTCATGTGAACTTTTATTTATGTATGTATTTATTATTTAATTTTGAAGAGTAAAGATAATACTGTTTTATTTAATTTTGAATAGGCAATATGATGCTATAGAACAAAAATTTTTAAAGTCTGTATGAGAGCCTAATTCATAATTTATGTCTTCCTTTTATTTCCAAAAAGAATTTGAGGTGACGTAAATTAAAATAAAAATATAAATGTACGCAGGAGAGTTAAAACTGGATCAAGATCAGAAATCATATTGGTAAAAGGGAAGATAATTATATCAGGATTGAACCAGAGATTTTCTTTTCCAAAAATAGGTTTATTGTTTTTGTAAAAATAATATAGAGAAGAAAGTAGCAGGGAACTGAATTCCCTCTATCTAGAGACCAATCCTTGTGTGTGTGTGTGTGTGTGTGTGTGTGTGTGTGTGTGTGTGTATAACTTCACATAAATGGGACCATGCTGCACTCACTGTAAATAAGGTAATTAGTAAATGAAGTATTAATTTAGATTGAAATTCCCAGTGAGCATGGCAAACAAGGGATACAGAGTTTCGTTTCTTCAGGAGAGGGGAACTTTGTTCTGACATTCTTTCTATTACCATTTCATATGTCCAGCAAACATTTTTCAAACTGTATTGTGTCAGGTGCTGATGCACCAGGTTATGAGGAAATGCAGATAATAATCATCACAGCCTTTGCCTTAAGAAGCTTACTTAAACTGCTGACATCAAGGACTTAAGTAATGTGATAACCATTGTCTTCAGTAGCCTTTCTGCCAAAGATTAACCAACATTCTACTAGGAAAATTCTTCCGCCAGCTCTAGTAACAGCTGGGGTGTAGTCTTGGCTTGAGGACCGGTTACAGGGGGCTGTTGCCCTCTCCACAGTGAGCCCTCCATAAGCCTTATGTCACAGGCACTTGTCTAGCCTGAGTCCGGGTGCCTCATTCTGTGCTGTGCTCTGACCCAGGCCAGCTAAAGGCTGAGGCACAGGGCCCCAGGATGATCACTGTGACTTGGCATAGCCTTCACTGGCTCGTGCAAATATACCCAGCCTTCAGCTAAATTCAATTAGTTTTTCTTCAAGAAGGGAAAGAAATCCAATTTTACCAAACATGGACAGACGGTGGAAGGCACTTTGATGTTACAACCTCTCAGTGATGCTTTACTTAGTCACAAGTTCATAAGCAAGAAGGCTTAATTACTTGGGAAAACACAGGATTAAAACTGGACACAATGGCTAAGTATCCGCTCTTGGGCAACTTGATTCGAACCCATGCACCCAGTTCGTGTGTGGTGCAAACTTTGATGTATGCTATGACAAGCCGAAAGTCATGACCCCCCTCAGGGAAGCTCCTTCATATGGCATTTGCAGGATATGTAGGCGGAGAGGCAGGGCCTGCCAGGCCCGTTTGCTCAACTTTGATGTCCAAGCGGCCACAGGCCCCACTGTTTGCTCTTTCACTGAGGGATGGATTTGGAGCCTCCTACCTTTCCCAGTGGACAATGGCCAGCAATGGAGTGTGACGACTGTTGACCATTCCAAGAGCCTGGCAGACCAGAACAGGGCTTTGGGAGGTGCAGAGTCTGGGGGGCCAAAAGCTGTTTATAGGACAACCATTTCTCCAGATGTAGCTTCCCTGAAAGCCTAGTGTTGGTTGGGTGCTTACAGCGGAGGTAAAAGTAGTCTCAGGAATTTTAGCAGGTACCAAATACTGCTTGGTCTTCTCTCTAGTCGCACTAAGGTGTTTGTAAATTGAAAATTTAAGTCTTTCATCAGTGGT